ACATCAGCAGGAGAGGACTCTTTAAAGTAGAGACACTACATACTGATATACACCTGAACATCAGCAGGAGAGGACTCTTTAAAGTAGAGACACTACATACTGATATACACCTGAACATCAGCAGGAGAGGACTCTTTAAAGTAGAGACACTACATACTGATATACACTTGAACATCAGCAGGAGAGGACTCTTTAAAGTAGAGACACTACATACTGATATACACCTGAACATCAGCAGGAGAGGACTCTTTAAAGTAGAGACACTACATACTGATATGAACATCAGCAGGAGAGGACTCTTTAAAGTAGAGACACTACATACTGATATACACCTGAACATCAGCAGGAGCGGACTCTTTAAAGTAGAGACACTACATACTGATATACACCTGAACATCAGCAGGAGAGGACTCTTTAAAGTAGAGACACTACATACTGATATACACCTGAACATCAGCAGGAGAGGACTCTTTAAAGTAGAGACACTACATACTGATATAAAACCTCAGAGCTGATACAGGAAACGTTTTGTCCTCCGTCTGCAGGAAGTCACACAGACGCTGCTGACATCGAGCACTAAATTACTTCCATCTTTAAACGTATTATTTCCAAATTCTGCAAATGATTTGGAGTTTTTTCCAAAAACATCACAGACTTTTCTTTCCCTTTTAACAAGAATATCCTCATTGCTGCCGAATCTGTTTTCAGTTACTCTGCAGACGCCAGGCCATGGAAAGGGACATCATTATTAATACATTATGAACTAAATACAATATCTTGATATTCTTTTGGGTTGGGGTGACTTTTGGTGCCTTGACAAAATATTGAACAAATGATTTTTCTGATAAATGACCATCAGTGCTTTAATGACCAAGTGGGTAAAAGCAAAACAATAAAAGCCCTAGAACTGTTGACTGCAGCTTTTAAAACCTAAAATAGACACGTGTTGTATGCAGCATAGCACAGGAATCTTACAATATATTGAGTCTCATTTACAGTATATCTGAAATGACTAGGTTAGCTACGTTAGCTAGCTAGCTTACAGCAGATCTGCAGTAACATCAGAAGGAACCATGTGATCACATTGTTCAAATAAGACCATTTTAGTTAAGTTTCCAACAACAGAGACAGTTGCTTTGTAATCCTGAACGTCACTCTTTAGTGTCCCCTGGTCTCCCAGCTGTGTGCGTCACTCTTTAGTGTCCCCTGGTCTCCCGGCTGTGTGCGTCACTCTTTAGTGTCCCCTGGTCTCCCAGCTGTGTGCGTCACTCTTTAGTGTCCCCTGGTCTCCCAGCTGTGTGCGTCACTCTTTAGTGTCCCCTGGTCTCCCAGTTGTGTGCGTCACTCTTTAGTGTCCCCTGGTCTCCCAGTTGTGTGCGTCACTCTTTAGTGTCCCCTGGTCTCCCAGCTGTGTGCGTCACTCTTTAGTGTCCTCTGGTCTCCCAGCTGTGTGCGTCACTCTTTAGTGTCCCCTGGTCTCCCAGCTGTGTGCGTCACTCTTTAGTGTCCCCTGGTCTCCCAGCTGTGTGCGTCACTCTTTAGTGTCCCCTGGTCTGCCTGCTGTGTGCGTCACTCTTTAGTGTCCCCTGGTCTGCCTGCTGTGTGCGTCACTCTTTAGTGCCCCCTGGTCTCCCGGCTGTGTGCGTCACTCTTTAGTGTCCCCTGGTCTCCCGGCTGTGTGCGTCACTCTTTAGTGTCCCCTGGTCTCCCAGCTGTGTGTGTCACTCTTTAGTGTCCTCTGGTCTCCCAGCTGTGTGCGTCACTCTTTAGTGTCCCCTGGTCTCCCAGCTGTGTGCGTCACTCTTTAGTGTCCTCTGGTCTCCCAGCTGTGTGCGTCACTCTTTAGTGTCCCCTGGTCTCCCAGCTGTGTGCGTCACTCTTTAGTGTCCCCTGGTCTCCCAGCTGTGTGCGTCACTCTTTAGTGTCCCCTGGTCTCCCAGCTGTGTGCGTCACTCTTTAGTGTCCCCTGGTCTGCCTGCTGTGTGCGTCACTCTTGAGTGTCCCCTGGTCTGCCTGCTGTGTGCGTCACTCTTTAGTGCCCCCTGGTCTCCCAGCTGTGTGCGTCACTCTTTAGTGTCCCCTGGTCTCCCAGCTGTGTGCGTCACTCTTTAGTGTCCCCTGGTCTCCCAGCTGTGTGCGTCACTCTTTAGTGCCCCCTGGTCTCCCAGCTGTGTGCATCACTCTTTAGTGTCCCCTGGTCTCCCAGCTGTGTGCGTCACTCTTTAGTGTCCCCTGGTCTCCCAGCTGTGTGCGTCACTCTTTAGTGTCCCCTGGTCTCCCTGCTGTGTGCGTCACTCTTTAGTGTCCCCTGGTCTCCCAGCTGTGTGCGTCACTCTTTAGTGTCCCCTGGTCTCCCAGCTGTGTGCGTCACTCTTCAGTGTCCCCTGGTCTCCCAGCTGTGTGCGTCACTCTTTAGTGTCCCCTGGTCTCCCAGCTGTGTGCGTCACTCTTTAGTGTCCCCTGGTCTCCCAGCTGTGTTTTTTTTTTTTTTTTTTTTTTTTTTTTTAAGATAGTCCATATCTTTATTTACCATTTCAACCACACCTAATACCTCATTCCACTCATAGATTTGTACAATTTGAACAATTTACTCAAGAAAAATAACAAGAGAACAAAAAATAAAACTCAACATAGGAAATCAATTCCTTCTTGGCAAGACATCTATTAATTTCTCTCTTTCATCGAAACCTGAACATTAGTGTTGCAACAAATGACACTTGAGTGTAAGGGGATGGGTGCTTAAGGAAAAGGGTGGTGTGTGCCTGTGTGTATCAATATTTTGTAAGACAGATATAGATTTCTGATATATATATATATATATATATTTATTTCTATGGAATGTTTTTGCAGGGAGATTACCTTTATCTAAAGATAAGAGTTATTGAAATGGTCAAATGGACTTAGTGCAGCTAACCTCAGTGTCTGTGCTAATAATTTGTTATAGTTGTCATATAATTATCTATTTGACCTCTCTGGTCTATGCAGTAGCCGTACATTATGACAACACACTGAGTTTTGCAATATAGAAGTTCTGCTCTTTTTGGTTTGTGTTAATAATATAATACTGGTTGTGATTTGTGGATTGGTTCTTTTGGTCTGTGGAGATTTTAGGTATAAGGCGGGAGCGTAGGCTCATCACTTGCAGGTGATTGGTTGGTTAGTAGGCCTGGTTGATAGCTTGCTGTGATGGGCTGGTAGATGCGGTATCGGTTGGCACATCGCTGCAGTGAGAGTCCCCCCACAGACTCAGATTTCTTCATTTATGTTTAATCCTTGAACTAAAGCCATTGTAGAAGTCCCATCCTCCATGTATACCACCTTAAGACAACCATCCCTCTTAAGGAGAGGACACAAAAGTGCAGAACTAACAGAGCAGCGGGGGGAGGAATCGAGTGGGACTTCTACAATGGCTGTATTGGCATTAAGCTCTGTTGCTGATAAATTCCTCTTACATGTAATACAAACAACAACTTCCGTGGTTACTGAGAGGAGATCTGTGCCTGGTGGGGAAACATCTTCATGGTATGTGTTCCATCAGGGGAGGCCGGTGGGTGGAGTTAGCACAGCCGTCGTGGTGCTAGCTCACTTGCGGGGCTGGTGGATGGGCTGGTTGATGTGCTGCGAGGCGGGCAGCTTGGAGACGCACGGCTGGGGCTTCTGATGAGCCACCTGAGCGGCTGCGGGGGTGAAGTCCTTATCGCCCTTTGTCACCACTCCAGACACAATCACGGGAACCTTTGGTGGACTGCTGCTGACGTACTCCTCCTCATCCTCCTCCTCATCAGCTTTGGGCACAGGCTCTGGAGCAGCAGCAGCAACCGGCTGGTGCTTCTGCACTATCCTCATCCCTCCTGCCTTTACTACAGGGAGGTGTCCTCCTTTGGTCTCCACTTTCTCCATTTTCTCCTTCGGTGGGGACGACATGTCTGCTGTGATCCTGAGTCTGAAGAGAGAGCAAACAGCGGCGTGGAGCTCAAATCCTGCTTTATTCTGCTTAACTGTGGACTACCCTCCCAGCTGTGTGCGTCACTCTTTAGTGTCCCCTGTTCTCCCAGCTGTGTGCGTCACTCTTTAGTGTCCCCTGGTCTCCCAGCTGTGTGCGTCACTCTTTAGTGTCCCCTGTTCTCCCAGCTGTGTGCGTCACTCTTTAGTGTCCCCTGGTCTCCCAGCTGTGTGCGTCACTCTTTAGTGTCCCCTGGTCTCCCAGCTGTGTGCGTCACTCTTTAGTGTCCCCTGGTGCAGCGTTTCTCCTGATGGAAGAGGTTCGGGTCGTGTTTGACCCTGTCAGCCACCGTACTTCTCTGTTGTGAAAAGAAGTTGTGGAAAAAGAGTCTCTCTTTAAAGTGAGAGTTTATTTAACGTACACGTCACTGCTCTCTTATTTTTGGCCTCAGAAGTTCATTCATCACAGATTCGTCACCGCTGGCTCTGAGCCGCACGGGTTGCAGAGTTTTTTCCGATCGTTGAGTTAAATCCCACAGCTGTTTGGAGACACTGAGAGGAAATACTGCAGAGGTCAGGGGTCACGGCCGGGTCACAGGCTGTATGACTTTAGTGCCTGGCTCAAAGACACTGAGGCATTTAAACAAGAACGTCTCTGAGACTCTTTGGGAAGTTAAAATCTGATTATTATTGAATGACCCCTTGATGAGATGTATGGAAGAGGATAAAAGCCACATCTGACCAAAAGTACTACATTTTTTTCTCAGGATTCTGAGATTCTTTGAAAAAAAAGTCAACATTTGATTTTTTCTCAAAGTTCCGAGTTTTTTGGGGAAAAAGAAAATTATTCTCAGAATTCTGAGAACAGATTTTTGAAAATAAAATGTCAATTGCCGTTTCATTGTCTAATTGTTGAAAAACTGCATTGCATCTTTCCTCAAAATAGTTATTGGCGAGCTTTATGGAGTCGTCTCATTCCATATTCCATCATAGATTTAATAATAAATAAATATTGTTTTAAATTGATGTGCTGATCTTCTTCTTCTTCTGGGTTTCAGATCTTCAGCTCTGCTTCAACTTTGACACGAAGAACTTCAAGGTCTTCTCCGGCTCCAAAGAAAACCAGTTTGGATACACGGTCCAGCAGCACGAGGCCGGAGGGCGCCAGTGGTGAGGAACCCAGTTCAATATCCATCCACCCAAAAAACAGTCTGTACTGGTCTCACACCATCAATAGAAACCAGTCTGTCTTCGTCTATTGAAACCAGTTTGTCCTGGTCTGGTTTTACAATCCCTATAGAACCAGTCTGTACTGATCAACACCATCAATAGAAACCAGTCTGTCTTCGTCTATTGAAACCAGTTTGTCCTGGTCTGGTCTTACAATCCCTATAGAACCGGCTGTACTGATCAACACCATCAATGGAAACCAGTCTATATGGTCTTATATTAACCATAGAAACCAGTGTGTCTACACCCATAGAAATCAGACTGTAAAGTTCTGCTTACGTCTATAGAAACCAGTTTGACCTGGTCTGATCTTACAATCCCTATATAACCAGTCTATACTGATCTAACACCATCATTTGAAACCAGTCTGTATTTGTTTGGCTTCTTCCAAAGGAAGAGGTCTGATGGTCTTATATTATCTATAGAAACCAGTTTGTGCTGGTCTAACAATCGGTCGGAAACCAATCGGTCTTTGTCTATGGAAAAAAGTCTGTAAAGTTCTGCTTACGCTTATAAAAAACAGTTTGTCCTGGTCTGGTCTTACAATCCCTATAGAACCAGTCTGTACTGGTCCAACACCATTATTTGAAACCAGTCCATACTGGTCTGCCTGAAACTATAGAAACCAGTTTGTATTGGTCTAACATTCTCAATTGAAACCAGTCTGAACTGGCCTGTCTATAGCTATAGAAACAGGCGTGTACTGGTCCAACACCATCGATAGAAACCAGCCCTTCTTTGTCTATTGAAACCAGTCTTTACTGGTCTCACATTCTCTCTCGAAACCAGTTTGAACTGGTCTGTCGAAATCTTCTTAATCTGTTGACTTTTGTCACTGTTTTTTTTACTATTGGGAGAAATGAAGGTTTGTACTGGATCCACTGGTTTGTTTTGTCTCAGCAAGAGAGCGTCTCCTGTAGCTGGCGGAACTTTTGAACGATGTATTTAAAATATTTTGTGTTTCAGTGGAAATTTAAAGATGACAGATTGGCTAAACTTCTGTTTAAAAGCAGAGACTCACGACCGTGTAATGAACTGGAGAACGTCATATTGAAATAAGTCGATAGATCTTAAAATTGAATGACTATAAACATCATTTATAGGACTTTAAAGGGGTTTCCAGCTTCTGACAGTATTTGGACGCCTCAGGTAGAGACAGATTGGACCCTGTTGGTCCGTCTGTGGATCCAAAGGATTTATTTACTGTGGTCTGTCAGAAGTTTCCTGGGAAAGTGAGAAAACCTTCCACTTGTTTCCAGGAAAGTTGGTGGAGAAGTCAGACTCATGTTGGGACGACAGATTTTCCAACCATGTGTCTGATATCTGCGAACGGTATTTATTGTCCTCTTTAAAGTAGGATTTCATAATCCGGACCTGACAGAGTCTGCTTGGCTCTCGTCATCTGGAGACCAAATCCTTCTCTCATTTCACTTGAATTCACTTTATTTAAACTCAGTCAACGTCTCATTTTGTCTCACAGACTTTCATTTAATCCCAACTCTTCTCTTATCTCTGGTTATATTTTCTCACGATAAAAGTACTTTAATATAGTTTCTAAACTATACAAAGTATCTAAAATATCACCTACTTATGTCTCATCTAATCTTAGCCTTATCCCTTAAGTACTGAACTTAAGTACGATGTTGAGGTACTTTACTTGAGTATTTCTATTTTATGCTACTGTGTACTTCTACTCCACTACAGTTCAGAGGTACATGGTGTACTTCTACTCCACTACAGTTCAGAGGTACATGGTGTACTTTTCCTCCAATACAGTTCAGAGGTACATGGTGTACTTTTCCTCCACTACAGTTCAGAGGTACATGGTGTACTTCTACTCCTACATGTATTTAATACCTTTAGTTACTTCACAGATGTGGATGAATGATGTGAAATATAATCAAGTGTTAAATCAGACTTTAGTTCCACCTGGAGTAAATCCACAAGCTACCCTGCAGTATACAAAGTCATTCAAACTCGCTGCACCTTTACCAGCTTTGAGAACACTTTCATGATCAATCATTATAAAACATATCATATATATTATTCTGAAATGGACCAATCTGCACAACGACTACTTTTACTGTCGCGACTTTAACTATATTTTGATGAGAATACTTTTCTACTTTCACTTGAGGAACATTTTGAATGCAGGACTTTTACTGTAACAGAGTATTCCTACACTCTGGTACTTCTACTTTTACTCAAGTACAAGATCTGAGTACTTCTACTTTTACTAAGTACAAGATCTGAGTACTTCTACTTTTACTCAAGTCCAAGATCTGAGTACTTCTACTTTTACTCAAGTCCAAGATCTGAGTACTTCTACTTTGACTCAAGTACAAGATCTGAGTACTTCTACTTTACTCAAGTACAAGATCTGAGTACTTCTTCTACTTGACTCAAGTACAAGATCTGAGTTCTTCTACTTTTACTAAGTACAAGATCTGAGTACTTCTACTTTGACTCAAGTACAATATCTAAGTACTTCTACTTTTACTCAAGTACAAGATCTGAGTACTTCTACTTTTACTAAGTACAAGATCTGAGTACTTCTACTTTTACTCAAGTACAAGATCTGAGTACTTCTACCTTGACTCAAGTACAAGATCTAAGTACTTCTACTTTTACTCAAGTACCAGATCTGAGTACTTCTCCTTTGACTCAAATACAAGATCTGAGTACTTCTCCCTTTTACTCAAGTACAAGATCTGAGTACTTCTCCTTTTACTCAAGTACACTGATCGAGTACTTCTCCTTTGACTCAGTACCAGCATCGAGTGTATTATCACTTTTACTCAAGTACCCTACGATCTGAGTACTTCTACCTTTCTACTCCAGTACACGATCTGAAGTACTTCTACTTTTACTACAAGATCTGAGTACTTCTACTTTTACTCAAGTACAAGATCTGAGTACTTCTCCTTTTACTCGAGTTACAAGATCTGAGTACTTCTCCTTTTACTCAAGTACACGATCTGAGTACTTCTACTTTTATCCAGTACACGATCTGAGTACTTCTACTTTATACAGATCTGAGTACATCTACTTTACTAAAGATCTGAGTACTTCTACTTTACTCCAGTACAAGATCTGAGACTTCTCCTTTTACTCGAGTACAAGATATGAGTACTTCTCCTTTTACTCGAGTACAAGATCTGAGTACTTCTCCTTTTACTCGAGTACAAGATCTGAGTACTTCTCCTTTTACTCAAGTACAAGATCTGAGTACTTCTACTTTTTACTCAAGTACACGATCTGAGTAACTTCTACTTTTACTACAAGATCTGAGTACTTCTAGTTTTACTCAAGTACAAGATCCTGAGTACTTCTCCTTTTACTCCGAGTACAAGATCTGAGTACTTCTCCTTTACTCAAGTACAAGATCTGAGTACTTCTACTTTTACTCAAGATACACGATCTGAGTACTTCTACTTTTACTACAAGATCTTAGTACATCTACTTTTACTACAAGATCTGAGTACTTCTACTTTTACTCAAGTACAAGATCTGAGTACTTCTCCTTTTACTCGAGTACAAGATCTGAGTACTTCTCCTTTTACTCGAGTACAAGAATCTGAGTACTTCTCCTTTTACTCGAGTACAAGATCTGAGTACTTCTCCTTTTACTCAAGTACAAGATCTGAGTACTTCTACTTTTACTCAAGTACACGATCTGAGTACTTCTACTTTTACTACAAGATCTGAGTACTTCTACTTTTACTCAAGTACAAGATCTGAGTACTTCTCCTTTTACTCGAGTACAAGATCTGAGTACTTCTCCTTTTACTCGAGTACAAGATCTGAGTACTTCTCCTTTTACTCGAGTACAAGATCTGAGTACTTCTCCTTTTACTCAAGTACAAGATCTGAGTACTTCTACTTTTACTCAAGTAACGATCTGAGTTACTTCTACTTTTACTACAAGATTGAGTACATCTACTTTTACTACAAGATCTGAGTACTTCTACTTTTACTCAAGTACAAGATCTGAGTACTTCTCCTTTTACTCGAGTACAAGATCTGAGTACTTCTCCTTTTACTCGAGTACAAGATCTGAGTACTTCTCCTTTTACTAAGTACAAGATCTGAGTACTTCTACTTTGACTCAAGTACAATATCTAAGTACTTCTACTTTTACTCAAGTACAAGATCTGAGTACTTCTACTTTTACTAAGTACAAGATCTGAGTACTTCTACTTTGACTCAGTACAATATCTAAGTACTTCTACTTTTTACTCAAGTACAAGATCTGAGTACTTCTACTTTTACTAAGTACAAGATCTGAGTACTTCTACTTTTACTCAAGTCCAAGATCTGAGTACTTCTACTTGACTCAAGTACAAGAATCTGAGTTCTTCTCTTTTTACTAAGTACAAGATCTGAGTCTTCTACCTTTGACTCAAGTACAAGATCTGAGTACTTCTACTTTGACTCAAGTACAATATCTAAGTACTTCTACTTTTACTCAAGTACAAGATCTGAGTACTTCTACTTTTACTAAGTACAAGATCTGAGTACTTCTACTTTTACTCAAGTACAAGATCTGAGTACTTCTACCTTGACTCAAGTACAAGATCTAAGTACTTCTACTTTTACTCAAGTACCAGATCTGAGTACTTCTCCTTTGACTCAAATACAAGATCTGAGTACTTCTCCTTTTACTCAAGTACAAGATCTGAGTACTTCTCCTTTTACTCAAGTACATGATCTGAGTACTTCTCCTTTGACTCAAGTACCAGATCTGAGTACTTCTCCTTTTACTCAAGTACAAGATCTGAGTACTTCTACTTTTACTCAAGTACACGATCTGAGTACTTCTACTTTTACTACAAGATCTGAGTACTTCTACTTTTACTCAAGTACAAGATCTGAGTACTTCTCCTTTTACTCGAGTACAAGATCTGAGTACTTCTCCTTTTACTCAAGTACAAGATCTGAGTACTTCTACTTTTACTCAAGTACACGATCTGAGTACTTCTACTTTTACTACAAGATCTGAGTACATCTACTTTTACTAAAAGATCTGAGTACTTCTACTTTTACTCAAGTACAAGATCTGAGTACTTCTCCTTTTACTCGAGTACAAGATCTGAGTACTTCTCCTTTTACTCGAGTACAAGATCTGAGTACTTCTCCTTTTACTCGAGTACAAGATCTGAGTACTTCTCCTTTTACTCAAGTACAAGATCTGAGTACTTCTACTTTTACTCAAGTACACGATCTGAGTACTTCTACTTTTACTACAAGATCTGAGTACTTCTAGTTTTACTCAAGTACAAGATCTGAGTACTTCTCCTTTTACTCGAGTACAAGATCTGAGTACTTCTCCTTTTACTCAAGTACAAGATCTGAGTACTTCTACTTTTACTCAAGTACACGATCTGAGTACTTCTACTTTTACTACAAGATCTGAGTACATCTACTTTTACTACAAGATCTGAGTACTTCTACTTTTACTCAAGTACAAGATCTGAGTACTTCTCCTTTTACTCGAGTACAAGATCTGAGTACTTCTCCTTTTACTCGAGTACAAGATCTGAGTACTTCTCCTTTTACTCGAGTACAAGATCTGAGTACTTCTCCTTTTACTCAAGTACACGATCTGAGTACTTCTACTTTTACTCAAGTACACGATCTGAGTACTTCTACTTTTACTACAAGATCTGAGTACTTCTACTTTTACTCAAGTACAAGATCTGAGTACTTCTCCTTTTACTCGAGTACAAGATCTGAGTACTTCTCCTTTTACTCGAGTACAAGATCTGAGTACTTCTCCTTTTACTCGAGTACAAGATCTGAGTACTTCTCCTTTTACTCAAGTACAAGATCTGAGTACTTCTACTTTTACTCAAGTACACGATCTGAGTACTTCTACTTTTACTACAAGATCTGAGTACATCTACTTTTACTACAAGATCTGAGTACTTCTACTTTTACTCAAGTACAAGATCTGAGTACTTCTCCTTTTACTCGAGTACAAGATCTGAGTACTTCTCCTTTTACTCGAGTACAAGATCTGAGTACTTCTCCTTTTACTCGAGTACAAGATCTGAGTACTTCTCCTTTTACTCAAGTACAAGATCTGAGTACTTCTACTTTTACTCAAGTACACGATCTGAGTACTTCTACTTTTACTACAAGATCTGAGTACTTCTACTTTTACTCAAGTACAAGATCTGAGTACTTCTCCTTTTACTCGAGTACAAGATCTGAGTACTTCTCCTTTTACTCGACTACAAGATCTGAGTACTTCTCCTTTTACTCGAGTACAAGATCTGAGTACTTCTCCTTTTACTCAAGTACAAGATCTGAGTACTTCTCCTTTTACTCGAGTACAAGATCTGAGTACTTCTACTTTTACTCAAGTACAATATCTGAGTACTTCTCCTTTTACTCGAGTACCAGATCTGAGTACTTCTCCTTTTACTCAAGTACCAGATCTGAGTACTTCTCCTTTTACTCGAGTACAAGATCTGAGTACTTCTACTTTTACTCAAGTACAATATCTGAGTACTTCTCCTTTTACTCGAGTACCAGATCTGAGTACTTCCTAATACCTCGCAGTCTGATGAATACCACGCAGTCTGATGAATACCTCGCAGTCTGATGAATACCTCGCAGTCTGATGAATACCACGCAGTCTGATGAATACCTCGCAGTCTGATGAATACCTCGCAGTCTGATGAATACCTCGCAGTCTGATGAATACCACGCAGTCTGATGAATACCTCGCAGTCTGATGAATACCTCGCAGTCTGATGAATACCACGCAGTCTGATGAATACCTCGCAGTCTGATGAATACCACAAAGTCCTCTG